AAATCCGTACCACTAAAGACACTTTTAGTCACTGTCTGACCCAGATGCCTTAGTCAAAGTATAGGTCATTGAGTTTCCACATTCGATTTTTAGCCTAGTGCTCTTCAAATTTTCTTACAAATCCCAATTGCCTAACCATAAATGCAATCTTAACCACAGATTTCATCATTTTCCATCTTCCACATTCGCCATCCTATTTGCAATAAAGTTCTCAGCTCTATTATGTATGTTAATATCCATACATCCACATATTTGGTGAGTGATTATATTATATCCATCTTTCTCAACAATTCACACTAATGGAGGAGATAATACAAGCTCCAATCATTTTATTTAGTATATGGTTTTTAGGCTTTATATGTGTAATTGGCATTCTACTTATACACATTCCAGACCTATAAAACATCCATCCAAGTTCTAAGTTAACTCGAACTTCCAGTTGCATAGCTCTGTGTTTAGGTGGTGGGGCCGACAGGCCTCAGGAACACCATTATATACCTAATACATCTGTATTAAATTACAGAAAAGAGGCACTGAGAATATGCCAAATGTAAACTCCAAGGCACTACTCTGGGATCATGTACTCTAAGAGTATTCTGGAAAGAGAGGGCATCTACTTCCTTTGCAATATTCTGTAGTGACTAGTCAGCGGACTCCACAATAGGCTCTTGAATTTCTAGTATCATAGATAAATTACATCTGCATGAGACCTCTATTTCTGAAGCACTTTTCCATGTGCTGTCACAGTAATCCTCTATGCTAGAAGGAAAACATTATAGTCTCAATTTTATTGACAGAGAAACAAGAATAGACAATTTATTTGCCCCAAATCATACTGCTAGTTAACAATGCAACCATTGGTTCCATACATCCTCTTCACTTCTGAGCTCTTAGACCTTAATTGCATTTATTCGACACATAATCTTACACAGAAATCTTACTGCGTGCAGGCAATGTGCTGGGTGAGAGGAATGCAGAGGTGAAAACACTAACACTAATAATAGCAGGAAGAAATGGTAGAAAAACAAGTTGGTTTTCCAAATCAGACACCCAAAATCCTGAAAGAAGCAAATTTGTCAATTTTGAGAATGGGGCAAGGAAAAAAAAAACAGGAAACTGACAAAGTGGATGAAAGGTAAACGTGGTCTGAGACCACCACCCTGAGCTTTCCTGGAAGCAGGGGACAATGCTCAGGTTCACCTCACTACTACCTCAGCAACACAGAGTACATTTCCTAAGACATCTCCAGCTTCTTTTTAAATGATGAAAAGGGCGTAGTCTTTACATTTTATCTGGTAGAACCTTTTAGAATTCAAATGAGATATAAGTGTTTTTCTATCAAGAAGTAAATATAATGATCTTAAATATTAAAACTCCTATCTTCTACACAGTTCTAACAAGCTATAAAACATATTTGTATTACCCAGACGTTTCTTTCTCTGCCTTACTCCTTTAGTTTGTTCCTCTATTAGGTTACAAGTAGTTGTCAACCAGACAGATGGACAGCCTGAGGAAGCTTAAAGGTAACTTAATCCTGTGTTTATACACTTATTTGGTAGCATCTCCAAAACCAGTCACAAATATAACATCCATGATCCTTCAGTAACAAATGTAATATCCACAATCTTACAATACATGGTTTGCTTTTTTTTAACCAGATTTCTATGATGAGTACCAGGGCAAATCCCAGGATGCTAGCTAGCATGGATAGTATTATAGGAATTCAGCACATTTTTATGAACTCTAACCAGGAGGTACGCAGTAACTATTAAATCCTACTTTAAATTCTTATCAAAAGCAAATCTGCTACAACATGTTTTTTGTAATTGTTTCCCAAATTAGTCTGATCATAATCACCTTGGATACTTGTTAAAAATAGAAATTTATAGCACCCACCTCAGACATACTAATTTAGAATATCATACCTATATTGTATTCCTTAACCCCATAGAACCTTAACAAAAATACATTACAATTTAACATGTTTTAATTAAATCATTTCAGGAAGTTCTTTGTTTTTAGGTCACGTCTTTCCACTAAAATAAAATTATAATAAGATTGTTAAATACTCCAGTAATATGGAGTTGAACAGATCTATAATCCCAGTTTATAAAAAGATAAATAAAAATCCACAGATAACTCAGTCAGAAATCAAAAGTTGTAATTTTAAACATTAACAAAGTTTTGTAGTTACCAGATCTCTAGTCCCAAGACTCATTGGTGGTTTGAGTAGGGAATTTTTTTAAAAGTTCCAGAAATTAACATGAATCCAATAACTCTATTTTCTTAATCCATTCTTTATTAGATCCTACAGAATTCTAAGACTTTCTCCAAAAGAAAATAGGTAAAATTAAATAATCCTAATAAAAATTGTAAAATTGCAGAAATTCCCCCCATCCACCTGAGAAATGCAACTGGGCAAGGTGTCATTTTTAAAACTCAGCAAACCCTAAGTATTCTAATGTAGGCTATCCCTTACCAACTGAAACATGTCTAATTGAAACATTCTAGTTCAATCTTGTGTTAAGAGCTGCCCAGAAATGTTTTTACTCAGCAGTTGGCACTCCCAGTTAATAATGTACTTATGGAGGAATGCCTTACTCTCACTCTCTCCCCACAGACATACAAACACAGTCTGACTTTCACTGTAAGTTAGGCTTCCCATATGTATAGACAGCTTGTGTAAAAGGGAGGCATAAAATTCAGTTACTCTGTTACATTCCTAGGTATATGCCAGAGAGAAATAGAAACACATGTCTACACAAAAACCTGCACAGAAATGATAATAGCAGCATTATATATAAAACAGTCAAATAGTGGAACTATCTGCCCATCAACTGATGAATAAAAAAATGTGGTATATTCATACAATGGAATATTAGGCCATAAAAAGGAATGAGGTTCTGACACATGCTATAACATGGCTGGACCCTGAAAACATTATGCTAAGTAAAAGCAGCCAGTCACAAAGTCCACATATTACATAATTCCATTTATATGAAATGTCCAAAATCGGCAAATCTACAGACAGAAAGTAAAACGGTGGTTGCCCAGATAGGGAAGGTGGGGGAGAATGGAAATAAAGAATGACTCCTAATGGGTACCAGGTTTCTTTTTGGGGTGATGAAAATTGTGGTGATGGTTGTGCACTCAGTGAATATACTAAAAACCATCACATTGTGCAATTAGTGAGTTGTATGAGTATGTGTGAATTATAGCTCAAAAAAGCTGTTAAAAAAGAGTCCCCTCCCTTCCACTCTGTAATGTATATTAATTAAGAATTCTTGGTGACCATGTATTTGGAATAAGATGTGAACCAAAATCATGTTTGAAAAACAATAATAAAAAGCAGGATGGCAGTACTAATCAATTGTTTAAAACTTGTTTTGAGAGCCGTCTGAGTGGCTCAGTTGGTTAAGAGCTCACTCAAGAGTGTGAGCTCTGAGCAACAGCAGTTTGAGTCCTGGCCTGAGCTGAGCTGCAGCCGAGCTGCCAACAGGTGGCAGGATGGCTCAGCTAAAAAAAGAAAAAAACTTGTTTTGTACAACAAAAATATTTCATAAGAAATATATCTTTAAACAATGATTATTATAGTTGCAAATCACTTGTCCTAAAAGCTTCATGTTTAAGATATTTAGTAAATATTAACCGATGTGCTAGTGATCACATCTTTTCTTTACAAAACTGGATGGACTCAACCTTGCATATCCTCCACTGAATTCAACTACTGGGGTAGATAGCGTCCTCCACAAGAAAATGAGTCATTAACAAAATAAATAAATAAATACTGAGATGGTATTTACTGGGAGTAAAAGGATTTTCAAAATCCTTAATGGCCTATTATCAAATGATGAATATTTCATAATGGTGTGAATATTTTCAATTTCCAGGTGCAAATGTGCAGTGTATATTTATCCAACTGTGTGTATGAGGTATAAATAGTTCACTGCTTACACAAACATTTGCTTAATTTTCTTGGAGAAGAAAATGTATTAGAAGGGTGTGGCAACTCATCCAAGGTCACACAACAAGTCAGAGCAGAGATCAACATTCTGGTTTACACCAAATCCCCAGAGGAAATCTTACTAACAATTTCGCAAAGATTTTTTGTTGGTTGCTTTATGTCATAAGCGGGGGAGGGGAGGAGCTGTCAGTTTACTTCTAAATAGAGACAGTGAGATAGCTATTTTGGATAAACACACACTTATACGGGGAGTGATTAAGAGCTAAACAAAGCTGGCAGTCAGAAGCCTGTGAACCACTGGACAGATCCTTCGGATTTCTGACCCCCGTTAAAGCCTCAACTCAAAAAGTCTAGTTTTTCTTCAAAGTCGGTTATGAAGGAAAGAAATTTGGGGTCTCCTTGGAATGGTGAGAGGACAAAAATCAAAGTAAGAAACGACATAGTGTGAGCTGTATTGCATCCAAGGGTATGGAGGGTTTTTCTGAAAAAAAAAATAATAATGGGTGTCAGAACAGCAGTGAAGCAAGCAAAAAAATTTCTAACACTGTAAGAAGAAACGACTAGGATGGGCAGAGCTAATCTATAATCTTTCCAAACGAATCGCAAGAAAACCTTTCCTCGACCAAAAAGAAGTCCACTTTTCCCGGCCTGGTTCTAAAAATGGAGCCGGGTTTTCGGTGTGAGGGTATCCGTGGGGAAGAACTGCGGTGCAGAGCCGGGGCGGAGGTCCTTCGCCTCCCGCTGCCCGCTCAGGAAGCCCCGCTCCACAAGCGTTCGCGACGGGACCTCGCTGGACAGGTCCAGCTACGATGAAATGGGCCCTTTAAGCTTCTAGAACCCTCGGGCGGAGAAGCGTCAGTACACATGCACACTCATTCACTCACCGTCAGCCACTGACACTCAACTCACGCGTCGTCGGAACCACTGAGGGGCCGGGCCGGTGGTTCGGCAGTCTCTGGACACCTTCCTACCCAGTGAAAAAACGCATGAGGAGCTGAGAACAAGCTCTGCCTTCCCGGAAGCCCACTCCCCTCACCTGTCCCTGGCCCCTGCCCCAGAAGAAGAGAAAGAGGCGGCAGCGGCAGCTGTTTCCGACAGGGTCCCCCAGCGGCGGTGGCTGCTTCGATCCGCGGCCCTAATCTCCCGCCGCCGCCATGATAGTGAGATCACCACCGGCGTGCTTCCGTCACCGCTGGCGCCAGGCGGGCGGGGGTGGGGGGGCGCAGAGGAGCGCCGGAAGGGGCGGCTTGTTTTCCCCAGCGGAAGTAAGGACCATAGAGGTTTGGAGATCTCTTCGTGCAGGTGTGACCCAAGGGAGCCGACCTCTTCTAGCTCTCTCTTCCCAGGAGTCGTTCAAAGCTATGATTCCTGGGGTTGGTGGAGGTCATTGAGAGCTGGTAGAAGGGAGGTCGGATACTGACGAAGGGGAGAGAGGCTGGCGATCCCTGCGGCAAGGAGCATTGCTACATCCAAGAACATGTTCCATATCCACAGAATATGGTATCCACAGTACATGTTCTATGGATGTAGTAAGCAAACAAGTATTGCGCTATTTTGTTGTTTTTGTTTTGTTTTTTTAATTGGGGGATGGGAACAGACAAGTTGCTATCCTTTTGTTCTGTAGTCTAGTTGTGGAGGACGGTGCTTCACTGGCCCAAGTTGGCACCATCATTGCACTCTTCACTGGCGAGGCAGATCAGTCGCAGGCTTCTGGACAGCCCCTCACAGCGGCTGCTGGCAGCACACCCTGGCTGCTGGCTACACATGGTAGCCCATGGCAACCCACTGCAGCAGGGGCTGCCGCTTATGCTGATTCCAGCGACCTATAGCAGCCCAGCTCCAGGTTGAGCTGTTGTTCAGCATCTTAGCTGTGGAGGGCAGTGT